TCTTTTCTTTTTTAATTTCTAGTAAAATAAGAAAAACAACCCTTGAAATTCCTGATTTTGTCCACAGCTATATTCCTGTTCCTTGTGAGTCCCTGAGCTCAGTTTCTACCAAATTAACAGGTTCAATAAATTTCTCTCTATTGATTACAGGTTGGCTGTTTTGTAGTAGTATTGCTCGCTACCTAATAACAGTGCCTCTTGCATAAGAGATTATCTTATAGATGTGCTGATAGAGCTTGTAATTACCAATCATGTGTCTAACAAGATTTAATATGATGGGTATATCTGATGTCAAGTGCATAATTTTCTATTTCTAAGCATCAAGATTCTTACTTATCTGAGCCAGTGATTCACTTCTTTGAAAAGATTGATAACTTGGCAATTGCAGGTTCCATATGAAATTCCTGCAGAATCATTGGCACACTGTCTTTGTGACCACCTCCACAGTGCACAGGCACTTTATTGTTTAATATTAAATAAGTTCTGTTATTAATGCATTTTGGATTCCTGAGGGTTTTTGTACTTACAAGAAGAGATGGTAACTGAAATTTTGCCATTCTGTGTTTGTGTTCCTGAACTTTCTATCATAGTGATAAAATATATGAAAAATTCAGACACTGGAAATGGAACTTTTACGGGGGGTGTATTTTAGCCCATTCCTTCTGAAAATCAGACCATGGTGGGAAAATGAGACAGTGCATTGGAGCCCACCTCATACTGGTCAAGATGTAGAATAAGACAAGAAGCAGCTACATCAAAGGAGGAAGTGTCCAAGGTCATTATGTGTGTGTGTGTGTGTGTGTGTGTGTGTGTGTGTATGTGTGTCTGTGTTCCTGTCTGTCTGTGCATATTTCTGTGTGTCTCTGTGAACACACAAGGATTCATCTATCCCACCAGCAATCCCCCCCCCAATCTTTCTCTGCACAACTTCTGACCTGTGTCAAAATGCAGCTCAGTCCCTCAGTGCCCTAAAGCTCAATTTTTGTCTCTACATGGTAATTCTATCTCAGTGCACATGGATCCCACTCCCTGTGTCTCTCACACAGTGATGCACAGCAGAGTCCTAAGGGTTACAGAGGGCAACTGCTATAAACAGGCTGGGACCAGTGGGACTGGTCTTTGGACTTAAAAGCAGTGTATTGGATTAAAGCCTGTAATAAACACAACCTTCAGATGCTTGCTTGGTTTCCCAGGGTCCTGAGTTCCAATATCTATATTTTACTTTTTAAATTATAGTATATGCCACTGATACATGCAGAATCACCTCAGAAAGGAGACTGTTATAAAATAAACTAAATGTGTAAGGTCAGATTTATGGAAATCAGTTTAGAAAGAAATTCTGAATATATGAAATTGCAGTATTTGTTTTTACACATTCTCCATTATTTAACTGATTTAAATGAGTGGGTAGAGAGAGTGAGAGAAAAAGAGAGGTGGGGATACAGAGAGGGGAGAGATTGTTTACAGTTTAGCATGCTGTAATTTATGAATTCCTAATTTGTAAAGTCCAAAAAGAAATTGCAGGCTGAAGTCTTGCTAGTTCTCTTGGACAGTAAGTGTTCACTGAGTCTCATTGGCTCTGTCTTGAGTTCATCGAGCTGCCCTCCTCTCTCTCCTCTCTGAGCAAAGGACTCCTAATGGGGCTGGGGCTGAGCTGAGGAATCAGGTATTCTTGCACTACATTACATTATATTACATTTTACCATCCAAGATGAGGATTGGGCCATTTATTTTTGAGATTTATAAACATGGACATCATAGATTTAATTTTGTACTCTGAAGGTTTTATTTTAGCATTTGACAACATCTCATCACAAGAATAAAACTAGCAAATTTTTTTTTTTACATGATGTTCAATCGACTTTTTTTGTCTTTTGGAGACATGGTTCCACTATGCAGTTCAGGGTGGCTTTGGGCTCACTTTGTAACCCAGGATGGTCTCACATTTATAATTCGTCCTCCAGTCTCACCCTCCCAAGTTATAGGATTACAGTAATGAGCCGCCAGGCCTGGTTAATTTGACATTTTAAAAAAAGTTCATTGCAGAAGATTTTAAAGTTTTTTTGAGATGGCAATGGATAACCATTAAGTGAAATTCCTAAAAAAAGATGAATAAAGTAAGTACATATATATGTACTTATGCAATTAATTTTGATGAAGAATGTTTACTTCACCTAGGATAGGTAAACTATCAAATGAAGGCTATGTATTTCAGGGTTTCCTCAGGTCACAGGATGTTAAAATAGAAAAAAAAATCCTAGAGGCCAAATGAAAGCCCTCACATGCCACTTCCTTTCCTGCACCTGCTCCTGGAGCCACTTTTCCCCCACAGAATGTGCACCCCCTACTGGTTCCAAGTCGGGAGAGTTTTGTAGGAGCTCTCAATGATGTCTCCTCACTGTGTGCCACTGCAGGATGATACAGAGTCATGTTCCCATGTCTTAGGCTTCTCATTTGCAGGTACAGCGTGTTCTTGCCATTCTCTTGGGAGATGGTGAATCGGCCCTTCACGGAATCTGCGTACTACTATCATGATTGATGTATGCGATTCACTCTAGCCCGTGTCCTGGAGTCTGGAGGAAACAGTGCAAGCCATAGCTCCTGAACAGGAATCTAGAAGCTGCTCAGGAGAGTTCCTGGAAACACGCAGGCTGCACCAAGGCTCTGCGGACTCCAACAGCTGCTTCTCAGCCTAGACATCTGAAAACACAAGGACATCTTGGACAGGAAACTCACACATGATCACAATCATGTCCACTTACCCTTACCTTATTGCTTGTTGTCCATAATTTACCTTTCATAAGTGCAAACAAGAAAACACAAGTCAGACCCAAATCCATAGTGATTGTCTGTGCTCAGCCCTCATCTCTGAGTGGGAACCTCTGGGTATCCAGGGCTGGGTTCCTCAGCAGATCTGCAGGGTGAGGGCTGGGCTGATTTTCATGAGCACAGGGAGGCCCTATTTGCCTTTCTTCTTGCTATTTAAACAGAGTTGTGATTAGACCCTCAGACCAGGCATTGTCCACAGCAGTTGTGAGTGTCCTGAGCAAATCTGGTAATATAGATACATTAAAGAGAGTCTGATAATTCATGTAAGAGTGCTCTGTTGTCTTTTTAACTTCATTTGCTTTCATTTTTGTCCATATACTCAGATCATACTTTTTATATTAATGATGCTTGCTTTATGAACATTTCAAATGTTGAGTGTCATGAGCAGTTGTGTTCTCCACAAAGAATCTGATGCTGTATGAATGTCATTCCGACTGTCTAGGTCTTTGCTCTCCTGGTCAGTGAGCAGATTGATTCCTGCTCCAGCTCCTGGATATTCCTGTTGCAGTGGGCAGACCTCTCTCCCCGTGGTGGGAATGTGTGTGCCTGTGCTGTGTTCTGGTCTTTTTTGAAAGACAATAGCATTAGCATTCATGTGGCTCCTCTTAATGAGTTTGTCAAAGTTATTTGTGATTACCTTCCTCTGTCTCAAATTTTTCTACCTCCTTTTAAAAAATTTTTGGTTGTTATTCATTTTTATCAATAGTGTTTACATTATATAATGGATGCATTTGTTGTAGGTCCTTACACATGTGCCTAAATCTCTTTAATTCTTGTTTCACTACATTTCCTCTAACATCTCTCCTTTTCTTAGTTCCCTTTAGTTTTTCAAAATATCTTTGTTTTTACCTCTCTTTTTTGCCATTTAACATATTTATATTCTTACTTTCTTACATAAAACAAACTATGAAGTATTTAAGATTTTCTTATTTATTTCACATATTTAGTGCAACAATTTTTTCCAGCTATTTCTTTGGCAGTCAAAGACTATCAAGAATATAGTGCATGGAGGACTCAAAAAATTGATCACCCTAGAAAGAGTTAGTTTTATGGTAAACGCTGCTTTCTTTTGTAAACAGGTTTTTTTTTTTTTTTTTTTTTTGAGATCAATTTTAACTTGTCCTCATGAAAACACATATGGGAGTAAGTAGACAAATTTCTGGAGAAGAAAAAAATTACACATCATTTTGAGCAGAGATAGGTTTGTCAAATTTTATGTTCTTAACTCATTTTGGATGGTGTTCACCTTCCTTGGAGTGGAATTGCCTTAAGGCATGATTTGAGGATATAAAAATAAATAGAAATTAACACAAATACCTGATATTTTTCCTTTTTAAACATGAATACAAGATCAAAATACCTTGATGTTTTTGAATATATGCTTAAGCACTGCAAAGTGTTTTACTTTTTAATGTTGAAAAAGTGACTTTTGAGGGCCAGTGTTTTAGCCTGATAGCACAAGAGCTTATCTGGAAAGCACAAAGCCATGAGGTACCAAAACTAGTGCCATTTGATATTTCTGGAACCTTCCCAGGAAAAACATGTGTTCTAGAACCAAAATGGAATGCTCAGAGAATTATTAATCATGGTTCTCTAACATTTCAAGGACCATAATGTAGAAAAGTTGACAAAGGGTCTCAATACACTTATGTTCCAACTTTCTTCAGAAAAGAAGTAATTTTTGTTTGCACTCCAACTATAATTATGTCATAAGAAACTATCTAAGTTCAAGAGTCTCTTTTTCTCACTAATCTAAAGCAGATTAAACTTAATCCAAGAAAGTTTTCAGATGAAACTAAGTGCATTAAAGTATATAGATGACTTGGTCAGTCCGATGAGATAGAGTGGAAAGATTTAATAAAACTCTTAAATCAAACATTGACTTGCAATGAGAGACAGATGGAAATACAGGTTGCTATTATATCTGGGATGAATATTGGATTGTTTAGTTGAGAAGACCAGAACATGGACAGCCAGGGAAATACACAGTTCCAACTTGAGCCAAAACAGTACCTGTCCAAGACACTTGTTTGCCTAGTAGCAGAATGGGACATCAAAATAAGACATATTATCATGTATCCCTGCTTTAACATATAAAATCCCAAAAATCAAGTGCTTCAACTATTTTAAGTTACCAGTTATTCAATAATAATGTTACATTAAATAAATAATAAACACACTTCTTAATTTTTAGATTTTTTACAGGAGGCACTGGAAAAATTTATGGTAATAACTCCACACAAGAAAAGAACATACATGGGAATAAATCTAACAAAGAAAAAGACCTCTTCTTGAAAAGTATTGCTTTCTAAAAGATTGATTGAAGTGGATAGCAGAAAATGTGTTGATATCCCTTATTCTTGTGGAAGAATGAATTCTGTAAAAATGTCCATACTTTCAGAGTTATTATACAGATTTAATGCAATCCACAGTGAAATTACATAGCATATGTCACAGATTTAGAGAAAACTTTCCTAAAAATTTATTTGGAAGCAGAAGAGACCTAGAATACCAGAAACATTTCTTGGAACAAATGCAGGACAAGGAACATCACAATCTCTGCCTTGAAATTGGGCTGCAAAGCTACTGTGATTTAAAAATACAACTTGCTACTGGAAAAGAAGATGAGAATGACCTGAGAACCATTGGAACAAATTGAAATATTCAGAAATACCTACAAGCATACACAGCCAATTCAATCTTTGAAAATGGAACTAAACACATTAACTAGAAGAAGTAAACCTACATAAATGGAGTTGGAAAATCTGGCTTCCATATACCAAAGGGTAAACTACACCCATGATTTCACCATGCACTGAACTATAATTGAAGTTGATCAAAGGTGTAAATAGTAAAGTCAAAAATGTGTGGGAAGATAGGATAAGAAGTCTTGATGACATTGGTTGAGGCCAACTTTATGAACAAAACCTCAGTTGCACAGAAAACATAACAAAGAATCAACAGCTGTGACATTTTACTACAAAGGTTTTACACTGGAAGAGAAGCCGGTCATAGGATGAAGAGACAACACATAGTGAGGGAACTACTTTTTGCCAGTATTTTATCATAAAAGTACTAATATGTAGGATACATAAAGAAATGAAATAGAAATGAGATCTCCTAAATTTAAAGATGAATAAATGGGTATCTAAAATGAATAGACATTTGTCAAATGAAAGTTGGAAATGTTAGATTGTTTCTTGCCAAAATTCAACTGTTTGAATTCACCTTTGTAAATACGATGTTTGAAGGGTTGATACCAACAGATTTCTCCATACATTTCCATTGCATCTTCAGGTCTAATGTTCTTTGAACTTCTGTCATATTCAGTAGGTCACAGCCCAGTCTTTATTTTCAACCTATGACAATCTGATCTCAGGGAGTCCTTCCTTGGTCCAGGCGTTGATATCGCTGTGCTCCATCATCCCCTGTGGCCCACAATATTAGGTTTTTCTTTCATGCTAATTTCTTTCCTATGATTGAGATGGTGGTAAAGTACACATTCAGTGTATCCCCAAGTTTCTGTATTATTTCCATGAAACATGTTCTACCTCAGTCAGGATACATGTTTGTGAAACAAGGTTTAAGAGCACTCCATGCCACAAATTATGTCAAAGATGGAAACAGCCTTCAAAACAGTCACATGTATCATGTATTGTGTATGTCCATGTGGATATGATCTGGAAAATGGAAATTTAATTCTTACCTTATAAATGCTTGGTTCACTCTTCACTTCGTGAACTGGACTCTTTGCTGCCAAAACATTCAGTTAATGCAGGGTAATCAGGACTGACTTTTGAGATAAAAAATTGACTGGGGATGGAGGAAAAAATATGTTTCTATGTAGAAACTGCAGATGAACCTGTAGACTCCACATGCACAAATGAAGTCACCATATAGTGTCAAGACACAGAGCTGAAGGAGACTTTGTGGAATGTGTTCCACTTTGCATGTTGCTGAATCTGAATCAGGAACAGGATAGGGCACTGTGCTCCCCACTGCCAGTCAAGCCTCATGCCACAGGCCTGAAGGGATCAGGTTGAAGCCAGTACCGAAGTCATGTCACAGACTTCACGAGTTTCATGGGAAGACTCCAACTTCAACAGATAACATCTAGTCCATTTGTATCCAGCTCAGAGCCCCTGGCACCAAACTTAACTTCCTAGCCTCTAGGATGTTTCCTTGTGCATAGATTCCTGCTGTCTGCAGAAGTCATCCAGCAACCAGGCCCAAATTCTAGGGGCCTTCATCAGCAGGGGACCCTCAGTCCAAAATATGGCAGCAAAAATATAAAAGAGGACCCCATATAATTAAATGTCCTGATCTCCCTATGCCTCTTTCCAGATCACAAAGCACACAGCCTTCCTGCATCACCCAATAGCTGGTAATGAAAGACCAAATATTTGAGACTGAAGGGAAAAGGAAAGTGATCTAAAATCTGAACTGATGAACAAGTTGATACATGCCATTTTTGTTTTACATATGGGCTGCTGAAATTCTCAAGGGCATTACTGCACTTAAAATGAGGTTGCTCTTGTCTTTAGAGAACAGGGATTGATTACCTGTATTTTTTGCAAATTTACTCCTATGTCCATTAGTAGAGTGGAAATGTACTCCGTGATTTGAGGCTATGTACTCTGGACATGATTCCTAAACTCTGAGGAGGGATGGGTGAGAACAGGCCAGGTCTTCTCAGAGTTTGAGATGAGGCCAATGGTTTTACTGCATTATCAGGAAACAAGGTCTGATTTAAGTTTTCAGGACTGAGATTGGAATTCAGCATATTTATACTGAGCTATCTCCACAGTACCATTTTTTATTTGCAGACAGGTTTTCTCTATGTTTCCAAGTTGCCAAGCCTGGGCTTAAATTGAAAAGTTGAAATCATCTTGCCTCAGGTTCCTGGACTGCTTAAATCACATGAAATCACAACCTTGCCTATGTCTGAACCATTTTATTTTTAAAAATGATAAAACAATAAGATAAGGGAGTAAAATTAGGAATTACATTGTAGAATTTACCAGCAATATTCTACCTCGGAATCAAGTGTGTAGAAATAACTGCCTCAATGTATTTTTCCTATATTAGAGAGTAATATTTTACACACAGTGAAACTTATACACATTACATTTAATATATATTTATGATTTTGGAATACACTTAACTGTTTATGAATGTGTTTACTAACAGTGCTACTAATTACAGACATTTGAATAATAACCACGGTAAAATCAGGATCTTGTGAACCTCTTGTCTCTCTTCATTTCTCATCCTTCCTTGCACTTAACCTTCTTGTCAGGTTGTCACATCATATGATAGCCCTCTGATGAAGGAAACTGAGATCCATGATGAATCCAAGTGACATTAAATTCATGAATGCTACAGAGAATGGAACATGATTAAGACTTGGTCAACATTTATTTCTGAATTATATTTTAATATCATAAAATGCTGCCAAAATGCCACTGTGGAACATGCGCCTAAATGGAGACTATGAGAGTTAACAGTGCCATGCACCAAATACTGGACATAGAAGGGCAAAAGTGGTGTATGAAATTCCTTGCCTGAATTTTTTTGCTAGGTAAACTTAATGCTAAAACCTGGGCATGGGTGTGCATGCCTGTAATCCCAGGGCTCAGAAGGCTAAGGCAGAAGTATTGCTGCAAGTTCAATTCAGCTTGGACTAAAAATTGATCCCAAGGCCAGCCTGAACTACAAAGTGAGCCCAAGACCAGCCTGGACTAAAGTGAGCCCAAGGCCCACCTGAACTTCATAGCAAGACCATTTCAGACAAAAAAAAATCTAATGTTACAATGTGAGAATCACCTTATTCATTGCACACTGCTGACTCTGTTTTTCTGTTGTCACAAAGTGACATCATTTCCATCATTCACTATTTCTATTCTGGCAATCGTATTCCGGAACTATCCTTGAACCTTAGGAATTGTATGACATCCCAATTCACTTGCATATTCAGGATTCTGCTGTTTACAAATGACTGACTTAATATAAGAGGAATGGTGTTTACATTTGTATAAAAGTACACAATGTAGGGGCTGGAGATTTACCAAAGTGGCAGAAGTGTCTGCCTTGCAAGCTTGCAGTTGTCAGTTCAATCTTTGGTACCAAAGGAAAAAAAAAAGTACATGATGTGTGATAGGCAGTAGGATTATACATCTTTCAGGAATGGAGAGAAGCAAGAAATAGAGGAAAAATATAAATAGAAGATGTTAAGGCAACAATAAAGAACTCAGACCCATTATACACATAGATGCCTTCCAAAGATGAACACTTGCATTATGTGCTAGAAACAGGAGCTAATGCAATTATACATATTTTAAATTTGCTCTTGTAATTATCTTATCATAAGCACACCTACATAGATGCATGTCATAAAAACTGGTGAAGGACACTTCTGAATGATCGTTCTAGAAAAAATAGAGACAGATCCAAGTGGAAAGAATGCTTTTGTGGAAAACAGGTGTCATCTATGAAGACAGTATCAATGAATCTAAAATGTGGGGAAATATTTCAGAATCCTTGAAATATCTTTAAAAAGTGTGATGTTTTAAAAAAGTAACACTACAGACAAATAGATCAGCTTCTTATGTGTGACACTGAAACACAAAATAAATATGATTTGGGATATCTCCATTTTCAAGTGTGATCTCTGGAATATCTACAAATATGTATTGAAATCAATTTTCTATGGTATTTCTACAGGTTTCAACATGAATAATTTACAAAGTATTTTCAAAATAGTCACTTACATAAGTGCAATTTTGCTGCATAGTCCTGGCTTTCACACACTTCACCATACCCATGTTTACAAAGGACTTGCTCACCTCACATACATAGGCTGTGGCCACAATAGGACTTCCTTTTAGAGGTTAGCATCTATCAACAGATTTTTTTTTTTTGGTACTGGGGATTGAACTCAGGACCTCTCACTTGCCAGGCAGGTGTTTATGCTGTTGAGCTAAATCCCCGGCTATCAGTGGAATTTTTTTTTAATACATGTTTTTCACAAGTTACTCTACAATATGTGGGAAATTTAGTATTTATAAAATGAAAAAATCTTCAAGAAATCCTTCTTACACTGACTGTATGAAGGGGGTTTCTCAACTGTTTGTATTATTTCCTTAATTGTTGACATTATTTTGCATTGAATGCTTTTCTTCATTTTTGGAATGCATGGAGTTGCTTCCCTGTGTGAATTTTTTCATGTCATTACAATCACTGGAGCTGGGAACATTTGCTGCATTGCTTACATGCACACATTCTCCCCATTGTGTGTTCTTTCTTGTTTTTGTCAGTGACTGTGTGAACTTAATGCTTTCCTAAATTGCTTACCTACATAGTTTTCCCACTGTGAATTCTTTGATGCGTTTGCAAGCTATGGCTTTGGCTGGTAGATTTCCCACATTGCTCACATACAGAAGATTTCTCCTTGTGTGGGATTTCTAGGTGTAGAAAATTTGGATGATCAGCAGAACCTTTCACAAATGTCTTCCATAAGGTTTCTCCTAACTGTGAACAATTTTATGGACAAGGTAACAATACTGACCGGAAGGTTTTCCACAATGTTCACCAACATTGAGTTTCTCCTTAGTATGAGTTCAGACAGGTATTTTATAACATGTTTATGTACTGAATGTTTTTCTAAATTTCTTGAGTACAAACTATTTTTCCCTAATTTAAACTCATTCTTGTTTCTGTCAGTGACTGGTTCTGCTTTTGCATTTGTGATGGTATATCTTACCATAAGCATGAATACATAGATACAGGCTATAAATATAAGCACACTTCTGAATACACACATATAGATCCTTCTTGATAAACTGATATAGGAGTTATAGATCATGGTGGGAAAAATGGTCATGAGATAAGTCGGTGTTATCCATCTAGATAAGACATTGATGAATCAAAAACATGGTAAAAAAAGATTCAACATATTTAAATTTTCATTAAAACTGTGATTTTTCATTAAGACTAAAGAAATGTGATTTATTAAAGATATTTAAGTGTTCTTTATAAAACAAGAAATAAGAACATTTTAGGACAATGCTATGTTTGAGGGCGTTTTCAAAAAAATCTATGCATATATGCTGACAGCAATAATTTTATATTATTTTAACAGGTCTCCTTTACATGAGCAATTTTCAAAGTATTATCAAAATAGTTATTACATATGTATGATTTCACTTAACTATTATTATTTTCACACATATGACAATAACCATGAATACTGAATTCTTTCCACATTGAATGTATAGACCTTGGACACAATATGATATCATTTAGAAGGTTAGCTCCTCTGTCAGCTGAACTTTTACCAAATATTTATCACATGTAGTTACTCCCCAGTGTGAGGGGAATCTTATGTTTGCAAAAGGAAACACAGTTGCAAATCTTTTCTACACTGCCTAAATACATATGGGTTTTACCTTGTGGGCCTACTTCCTCTATTTGATGAAATTTTTGTGCACTGAAGGCTTTCTACCACTGTTCAAAAGTATAGAATTACCACACAGAGGAAGTTCTTTTATGTAGTGACAATAGCTCTGGTTTTCCTATATTACTTCCATTCATAGGATTTCTTCCCAGAAGGATCTTTTATGTTAATGAAGTGAGAATTTATCAACACATCCATTTATTCATTCATCATATAGATACTGTTTTTTTTACAGAGTGAATTCTTTTATATATACAAAAGCTACTACTAAAGCTGAAAGATATCCAAAAATGCTTATGTAAATAAAGTTTTCAGCACCTCTGCATACTGAATTCTTTGCCACATTGTTTGTATCCATTGTGGTTCTACCCAGTCTGAGTTCTTTCATGAGTAAGGGTACCATTTTGACAGAAAGATATGCCACACTGCTTACATACATATGGCTTCTCCACAGTGTGAATTCTATCATGAGCTTTAAAACAATAAGTTGTACTGAATGCTTTGCCTCATTTGTTGCAGAAATAGGGTTTCTCCTGAGTGAACTTTTTCATGTATAAGGTTACCATTTTGACTGAAATATTTCACACTCCTCACATACATAGGGTTTCTACCCAGTGTGACTTCTTCCATGTATAAGAAAGTTACAATTTTGACTGAAAGATTTCCCACATTGTTTGCATATCAAGGTTTTCTCCACACTGTGAAATCTTTTATGTCTACTTCTGTGTCTAAAAGATTTTCCACACTGCTTAGATACATATGGCTTCTTCTCAGAGTGAATACTATTATGTACTTTACAAATCAGAGGCTCTACTAAATGTTTTCCCACATTTGTTGCATACATAGGGTTTCTCCCCAGTGTGAATTCTTTCATGTACAATAAGATTACCATTTTGACTGAAAGATTTCCCACATTGCTTACATACAAATGGTTTCTCCCCAGTATGAGATCTATCATGTGCTTTACAAGCAGAGGCTGTACTGAATGCCTTCCCACACTTGGTGCATCCATAGGGTTTCTCCCCAGGGTGAATTCTTTCATGTATTATAAGTTTATGATTTTGATTGAAAGATTTCCCACATTGCTTACATACAAATGATTTCTCCCCAGTATGAGTTCTATCATATTTTACATTCTGAGGTTCTCATGAATGCTGTTCCACTTTTTTTTGCTTATATATAGTTTCTCACCAGTTTGAATTCTTTTATGTCTTTGACAGCTACTGCATGTACTGAATGAATTGCTTGTGTTCACATGTTTGCTTTCCAGTGTGATGTTTTTTATGGTTTTTAAAGGAATTGCTGCAAGATAATGCATTTGCACATTTCTCAGTTATATGGTTTTTCTCTCCAACATATTTTGTAACATTTTTTCAATATAGTATGAAGGCATGAAATTATTCTCTTACTATTTTTGTACATATGAGCTCCCTGAACTGTGATATCTCCCATGATTTTGAACACTGTTAGGTTTTGTGTAGGTTTTGACACTTTTCTTACCTGAAAAAATTTTCTTCTCAGGGTGAGTTTATTCCCTAAGATCAGAGCTGTCCTCCCCACATTGCCCATATTGACAGAGTTTCTCTCCAGTCTTTCTCATTTCATGCTTCTGAAAGGACTGGAAATCACTGCAGGTCTCTACATCTTCATTACATTTATATTGCTGCTCTTCAATTCTCAAATAATTGTCTTCATCACATCTGTAAAGAAATACGAAGAAAGATATCAATCACAATGAAAGAAGCTCTACATTAACAATTCAGATTTATGATGACAAGTTTCTTTTGATGCCTGCTAAGTAATTCTGCTGGTTAACTGACTCACTGCCCTGCAGGACTTCTTACAAAGTAATATTCATTCTAAAGAGGATGGTTTTCATTTTGAAATTTTCATTTAGTGTATGATTCCACTACATAATATTATTTTAGGAGATTGGTAGAAATGACTATCAAATATTGATCACTTTTTTAGCTCTTTGGGTCTTCATTCTCCCCCGTGTCTATTTAGCAGATCATCTTTCTCATCTATAGAATGTACAGATGTCTGGTCTTGTGTTATCTCTATTTCCTTTTTCTCATCAAATATGCTTTAATTTCCATTTAAGAGAAAATTTGTGATATTTTCATTTCTTTGTCTGACTTATTTCACTTAAGGTCTAACTCCTTTTGTTTCTTGAAAAATGACATCATCTTCCTTGTATAACATATTTTTTTTTCAATGTAGAGGGTTAAACACAGGTCTTCTAGGGAATTACATTTGCTGATCTAATATTTGGTTTTTAGATAGAGATTCTCATTGATCAGGAACTTGCTCGGGCCGAATTTCAAGTTGTCATCCTGATGATTCAGGCTCTCAGAATACTGGGACTGCAAGAATGCATCACCATGGTGAGCTGACCCTACATTTTCTTTATGCAGGCATCTAGTGATGGGCATCTGGGCTCTTCACAGAGCTCAGTTACTGTGAGTCGATTCTCATATTAGATACTCTAAATGCCCTCTCATATGCTGCATTGAACAAAACACTGGATTGACCACTAATGTTTGATGATTTTAATGTATTTCACAATATACTGAATCACTGCACATAATGACACAGTACAATCCTCTCAACAGTCAGGAGATAAAAGCATGAGGATCACTCTGAGTTTCAGGTTTGTATAGGCTACACAGTAAGTTCAAAATCAACCTGAACTACAGTCTAAAATCATGGATTAAAAGTAAAAATGTATATATGGATGGATGGACATGTGGAGTAATATGAAACATTATTGTACTTTCCAGACACCTGAAATATTGATTACTATTCTATTTTATTTTATGTATCCATGAACAATGTATGAGAAATCTTTAACATGCACAGCTCAACATTCTACAGGATATTTTCAAAATACTTGTTATAACAGTAGCATTCATTTGCATTTTACATCCTGATTTTATGTAAAAAATTTTTAGATCATGAAAGTCTCAGTATTCACATATATACATAAATGGATAATTTGAAGATGAGTTTCAAACAAAATTCAAAATTTGTTTATTTCCTACATATCAGAATACAATATTTAATTTTACTCCCATACAGTTTCATGATATTGATTGTGGGGGCAATTTTCAAACTGATATATTATACAGTGTCATTTATTACATACTATCAGCACTATGTCTGATTCCTACATTCAAATACTCTTCTATGGATTCCTAGATAATACAAAATAAAATCAAGTTTTTCTTTTGATATTTTTCGTAGGTTAAATAATGTGTAACACGATCTCATTGCTTCCAGTACCTTTGTTGTAGTAGTTTGCTCAAACACTGAACTTAAGGAATGTTCCCTTTCTCTTTTGTGTGTCGATCAGCTTAGATTTCTTGAGCCATTTTTGTCCTCTTCTTTAATTTGTTGGCCACCATATTCTTCCTATATTACAGACAGACATTTTACAAAATTCACTATAAATTTACATTAAAACATGACTGATTCCAGCAAATGTTATAAGCAAATGTTATAATTGCTTATATAAAGATTACAAGCAAATGATATAATTATAAAGATAGAAAGATTACAAGCAAATGTTATAATTATCAATTATATAAAACTATATTACTGAGAAATAATTATTTCTGCTTATATAAATAAACAAAAATATCATCCTTACCTGTAGCATTAATATTCATAGATATTTCCCACATCACATCTCTGTAGAGATTCTTTTGGGATTCATTCAGCAAATCCCACTCTTCTGGGGTGAAGTTCAGAGCTACATCTTCAAAAGTCACTGTCTCCTAAATAATGACAAATTGCCCTGAAGTTCAGACACACTCAACCTGCATTTTCACAGCTCCTGTCATAAACAGTCTAACTGAAGTTCATTATGTAGTAACTGCATGTCATCACCATCAATCCTCAAGTACATCCAAATATAGTCACTCAGTAACATTCATGCTAGACTATTAAACCCTGTCAAAATGATCACAGAACTGTAGCATGGATTGTCCTGCAGGACCTCCTATACTATACTTTTCTATTGCTTTAAAGGAGAGCTCAAAGAGGAAGCCTGCAAATCGCCACTCACAAACATCTGGTTATTCATAGCAATGTGTTCATTTTTCTTGCATACAGCATTTAGAATCTTGAAACTGGTTTCACACATAAATATTTAGTACAATATAAAAGGAGGGTTATGAATTACTAAAATATAAATGAAAATTAAGGTTTATTTGAGCATTCTATGGACAAGGAATTTATAAATTGTAATTATAAACCTATAGTTCACAGATACCAAATTGTATCTTTTTACTTGAATACTAGAAGTTCTATTAGGGAGTAAAAAAAGTTAATGTGGAAAAGAATATATATTTCATATATATTGAAATGCAATGAAAATTGAGGTATAACAAGGTAACTGGTTACTAAATACAAAAGGTAGAGATTCAGCCCATTTTTGTAGTACAAGTCTGTTACCCCAGCACTTGAGAGGCTGATATAAGAGGATTACAAGGAATTTCAGGATTGCCCTGTGCACAGTGTCCAGGCTGGTCTATGCAATAAGGCCAGTTCAAAGTGAGGCCATTCATCAAACTCCTTCACTGAATGAACATTAAAATTAATTTATAGCAATTTACCAATTACATCTTTGTACCAGGACTATATCTTGGTGGTACGAACATCTGGCTGACACATGTAAGGTCCTGAGATCAATTTCTAACACCAAAAAGAAACAAACTAAATGTACCTTTGATGATAGGTGAAAGTTACAAAAAAAGCCTATAAAATTTCAATACTTGTAAGCAAGGATATATTTTGCATTATAAATATGGAAAATGTTCAAATTTCAACATTAACATCAGTGAAAGATTCACAGAGAATGACAAATGGGTTGCAGGAAAGGAAGAGAACCTTCAAGTAGAACATTGTTTCATGATTGAGCCAATGCTATGTGTCTCAGGAATAAAGCACAATGTGTTTCATTTACATTCAGAGACAGACAGGCATATCCTTATACATCTAGACTGTACACTCTCCTTCATATGTGCATTGGAGAACACTGAAATGGGATAGATAAAAAGGAATGATTGTATAATTTATACTAAAAAACACTCAGTTAATGACACAGTTTCCTCAGAAGAAAATCAAGCAGCAAAGAAAATGAAAAGAAATTGAAATCTATGAAGATGGGAATTAGTCAAGAAAACACTGATAGGGAACATAATACAAAAATTTTACTTATAGAGTTAAGATCAGTGAGGACAAGTCTATAAATATCAAAAAGTTATTTGACTCAGGAGAAATAGTGAATAGAAAAAAATGTAAATCTCATTGTAAAAATCACCAAACAGTATTGAAGTGTGGAAGAACAAAATAATTCATTAACTCAACACTCAGCTCCTGAATTCCACAAACTCCTTTACTTATAAGGTTATGAAATTCCACAGACTTTTTTCTAAAGTCTAGAAAACACTTTGTGCTATGATGCCTGAGAATACACACTATTCTTTTTGTATTAGTTACTTTTGTGTGCCATGTAAATATGTATCAGATATAAACAAGTGGATTGCAAATTATGAGTATTGTACCAAGTACAATTCACATTGACATAATTTCAAAAATGTGAAAACCATTTATGAAACTGCTATAAAAAGCACAAAGTGCATCACTTAGCATGACTTTTTAAACAAAGTCCAGTAACTATCAATGGATTATAATAATTACATGATCAATGGTGCTTCTCCCCTCTGCACTCAGAGCAAAAAATTATTTTACAAGGCCAGGGATATAGCTCAACAGCACAGTACTTGCCTTGCAATGTGAGATTTTGAGTTTGATTCTCAGTTTAAAAAAATTGCATGTACATGTGAATTCCCTACTTCAAAGAGATCAATATGTGGGTTTAACAGGCACAAGTTTAAACCCCTTTGCAACTAGTGCTTTTCAGCATTATTTAACATTCCATTATTTAAATTCTTATCATACATCCAGCTTTTAGCACTATGAACTGTAGAAGCTAATGTGTTCAATAGTTTACTCATTTATCACATTACTCTAGATATAAGAGAGTAGTTTACACAGGCCTGGCAAGGGTCCTAACAATTACTTTCATAATAACCAACACTAAAATGTATGTTAAAATTTGATTATGTTAAACTTTATAAAAAATCATTATGTGATTTTTAAACATCCTAAAATGACTTTTAATTCTGAGGGTGTGTTCATTAGTTCTGGAAATAACCATCATTCCAATGAAGCTTAATGTGTAGGACACAATCTGTATTTTTAAGATTTCATATTTTAACTTTCATTTTATTTAGCATAGTTAGATGTCTCTGCCACTTCCTATGGCTGTGATAAAATATCGATCAATGTCACCTGACTTTACACTCCATCACAAGGGATTCCAGACTTATGAAAACTAACCCTAGCAGGAAGCATAATGAGAGCTACACGTAGCCTCACCCTCAATTCTTTCCTTGTTATGAGGCAAGAACATAGCATAGTAAATTTACCATAATATCCCTTTCCTTCTCAATGGTTGAAAGTTAATTTCTTGTGGCTTAGTAATTTTTCCAAAATAATGTACTCAACTTGAAACTGCTGATGCTTAGATTTCTACTGTCATGTTTTGTAAGTTTGATGACTCCAAGGATATTAGAAAAGACATGTCTGGATATAGTTTCATATGGTGAGGAATCATGATCTATGAGATTACATCTGGTGCATGGCCCCTGCTTCCCAATCTCGGTCTCTGCTGAAGAATCCCCACTGGCAGGTTGAAGATTTTATTTTGAGAACATGAGCAAACCTGAGGCCAATGTCCTAAGGCAATGGCAAACATCTGTGCTCAAGCTCAAAAAATAAGAGACTTATTTTCCCTTTAATATCATACCCAGGACATACTGGTGGTTTTCAAGCACATACAAAGTGAGTTATTTCCCATGTTATATAAACCAGTTATGCACAAAGAAGTTCATAGCTTTAAAAATGGAATGGGATATTCATACACATTATGAGATGCACCCCAAATAGTCATCACAAATCATTAATCTTTATTGGCTAAGAATTCCCTTCACAGATATTCTTCATATGTAGTAATTATTTTCTGATTCCCTTAAAACTTCACAGGAGAAAAAGAATACATTTTACCAAAAAAAAAAAAAAAATCCTACAGCTACCAGAGTCATTTCCTCAGAAGGAAAAGATTCACAAAATTATCTGTACATGAGACATAATCTTCCTTGTCATATTCAAGTGTACTACATCATACTCATGGAATTAAAGCAATAATTTGTATCATGAAAAAATCAAATAATCCCAAATTTCATTTTTAATGGGAAAACTAATTACAAAATATCCAATGTGAATTGTCCATTTTTCCTGTGCATAATCTCCTTCTCCACTCTACTTGGGTATAGGCCTAGGTGCCCTGCCTAGTAATTTTTATGCACCATTCACCATTTGGAACTCTTTCTGTGTGTTCACACAACTATGTATGTAATCTGTACTCTAGTAAGTCCTAGGATCCTTAGAAACTCCTCTCCCTTTAAAAAGCTAAAACTGCCAGAAGTTTGAATCCTTTGGAGGCTGAATAACACTGCTGAACTGAAATTATAAACCTGAAGCTTTGTTACAGAGATGTCATTAAAAGATATAATACAGAAATACTTGTTATGTCTAACCTAACCCTAATGTCTAACCATCAGCTCAGTTGTGCCAATTTAAAATTTCCATTTAATCTTCTTGACAGGGGATACATGTCAAGAAATATGACCAGATTGTACTACCTCCATAGAATAATAATAATAAAAATCCAGGGGAAAAAAGACACAAAACACCCACAGTAGTGTATGCATTGACAAAAAGCATTGCACTGCTCTCCTCATAGAGCTTTTCAGGAGAAACAGATGAATACAGCTCTCCAAATTGGAAGCAAGTGGGACAGAGGACAATATAAAGACAATATATACACATGTACAGAGGACAATATGAATACTTGGAAGGAATGACATAAAAGTGATATTTGAGTCTCAACTGGAAAATGACTATATCAACCTAAATGTAACTGATGACAAAATGCATTGAATAAGCACAAGAACAAACATGAAATGCCAAACAGCATCACTAAACATCAGATTTATTTCAACATGCAGAAAATGAATGCCTTGATCTTTATTTCAGATATAAAAGAAATACAAATTTATAACACAACACTAAATATCATATGTACCTTACTGAATGCAGCACACTTTGAATCATTCATTGTTCTCCCATGGTGTCCTTTTGTGGAGACCACACAGTTATCTGGATGTCCCCTGACATGAGCAGGTAAGCTTTGCATTGTGCCATGTATCAACAAGAGAAACTATGCATCAACATAAAAGTTCAATATAAGTTTAATCCACAAACATTTTCTCTTCAATATCTAAGGCCCACATGGACTGTAGAAAAGATAATCTGGTGTGGACATAAAACAACAATGTACATCTCTTATGGAAAAAATTCTCGATCACTTATCCAGGGTGGCCTTGGTTTATAATCACTGTAACTCTCCCAAGTGGCTGGTATTATATCTGTAAACCTCCATGACACAGTGTTGTTCACTTTACCCCAACACTGAAACCTTAGTGAAATGTGATGACATAAAAATTAAAACACTAATCCAGGCATAGTAGTGCATGCCTGAAACCCCAGAACTACAGAAGATGATGCATGAGACTCTGAGAGTTTAGGACAGTGTGAACCACAGAAGTAGACCCAGTGCTCTACACCAAAGTAGAGGCACAACAATATATCTAACAAGGTAGCACATGTCTGTCAACATGTTACAGGCAGCTGAGCTAGTTAGAATTATTACAGGCAGTCAGACAGAGCTAGGCACTCAAATTAGCTGGCATAGAGGACCAGATTTCTAGTGACTTTGGAGAAGCCACACACCTCTTACTCTGGGCCAGATCTCAAAATAGAAGTAAAGGAAATGCAGCCACACCCTTAAATATAATCCTTAGGAATTAGGTATGGATTGAGAAGCAAGGAATCACCATTCCAAACTCCTACAGGAAGAGTCACTGATTCATAAAGAATGCTTGCTTGCCAAGTGACTGGTTTCCCCATTTGTCCCTGATTTAGTCAACTTTATCTGAAAAATTAAACTTATTGGTTGACCATATCTCTTTCACCCCTCATGCCTGCCTGCCTTGTGATTTCTCATTTTTCCCTCTTTAGACTGGCCTCACCTCATGGTTTTACTCTATAAAAATGTCTACAAGGTACATTCTTTGGCAACCTTCTTAGCAGCCCTTCTCTCTCTCAGACAGAGGCTTTCTTTCTCTCAATAAATATTTTTGCTTTTAATCCCATTGTTTATAAAATTCATTCTTAAAATTCTGAGAACAAGAGCTATACTGGAAATATAGTAGGTTGATAGTTTCATTCTCCTATATCAAGCTCAACAGTCAAAGTGCTGGAAAAGTCTAAACACTTCTTGCCACCTCAGGCAAAGTAGTAAGACTACTTCTCCAACTGCAACAAAAATTTTGTTTAATTAAAATATTTTTTCAAATTTGGGAGGTTGAAGGTAGCGGCCAAATTTCTGAGGTCAGTCATTGGACAATAAGAAACACCATCTATGCCTTAAAATGTACGGTGTCCAACAGAAAAACTTTCCCATGCTACTTTAGCTAGGATGTCTAACATATTTTCAAACCTCCAATACTAGTGTATTAATTTCCTATTTACATCAAGATGATTATGCAAACTGATCAGTAGACCAGTAGCAGTATTTGTCCATGACAAAGATTCCCTTTTTTCTATATGCCTGTGACTCTTTTCCTACTCTTAGTCCTAGCAAGTAGACTTTCCTTTAGGGCAGTCACACAAGCTCAAGCTCATCTAAGGAATCCTTCACTGTTCTGGCTTCTGATTGGGCCTCCCTCAACATGCCCAGGCTCCCCCATTTCCTTTCAATCATCTTTGCTCCTTTTCATTCAAAAAAGCCTTTTGTTCTTAATCTTGAATACTCATGCAGATCCTGACTCTAAATATACTT